GTATTGTGGGGTCACGGCATTAGAAAGGTTGAGAACCACTGCTTTATAGGGAAAAAAGCGGGATATAAACAAAGATAATAATAACTGTAACAACAACTTTATCAACATGGAAATTGTTACTGTTATTTCTAAAATTCATATGAGACTTCTTAAATGTATAGTGTATTCATCTATTTATCTATAGGTGGCAAATGTTTGGCCAACAAAATATGGCTTGTTGTTTGAACGTAGTAGTTCTTCGCATGAAGTGCCTCTAAGTCCAAACAGGTAAAGTAACGTGGATGATGATTTCCTATATTGTATTGATTTTCTGTATGACAATAGTATAATTTAATGTATTCAGTATATGTGTTGCCTTATAAAATCTCTAGCTCTTGACGTGTATGTCTTGGCATGCTTTGGAAGGATAATTTCATAACTATCAGGGAGTTTAGAAATCTGATTGAACTAGCCAAAGAGGATTTTGATTACTTTTTAATGTTCAGTTATATGAAATTTTATTTCAGAAATAATTCTGACTTAAAAAATAATTGAACATAATAATAACAGTAAAATCTCCTCACAGGTGAGGAATATGTGGGGTCTTCAGGTGTTGTTGGACTGCAGCTCCCATCAGCGTCAGTTAACATTTTAAGTGATGAGGGATAATAAGAGTTGAAGTCCAACATTTGGCGGCTGCATGTTCCCTCTTCCTGATCTATATCTCTAATCTCCATTTGCCAATGTTCTGAGTAATAGTTTGGAAGAATGAGAACAAGCTTTGTATGCATGGACTCTCTTCTTTCACCTCTCTTTGTGCTCTTGGCTTCATAGAACACTTCCTAGTTTGTAAAACCATAGTTAGCAGTTGCCTGTTGTGATGTGGCATTCAGTACTGCATAAGTTGCTTATCCTAGCACTGGCTTCAGTGATTATTCTGTTTTCTTTTCATTTCAGAGAACCTTTGCCCACCATGTTCAGCATGTTGCATCCTTTGGATGAAATAACACCAATGGTTTGTAAGTCTGCAGGTAAATTAAGTAATGTATATGAAATCAATGGAGAGCCAACATGGTATAGTGGTTTGAGAGTTAAATTGTGACTCTGGAGACCAGGGTTCAATTCCCCATTTGGCCATTGAAACCCACTGAGCGAACTTGGGTAAATCGTGCACACTCAGCTCCAGAAAATTCCATGATAAGTTTGCCTTAGGGTCGCTGTAAATTTGAAACTATTTGAAGGCACACAACAACATATGAAATCAAGGGGGGAACATAGAATTATAGAGTTGGAAGAAAAAATCATATATTGAACAATATTCCAGGATGCTTAATAAATATTGAATGGTCCCTCTTTATGTGACATTTATGTGTCTAAGTTCTATAGAACCCTTGTGACAAGGAGATTCTGCAGTCTATACCCCAAGGTTGATGGTGTGAAAAATGACAAAGGAAGAAAAGTTGCAGGTGCCTCAGGCCTCTTCCCTACCCTCCACAACCCAGCAATCAAGACTATATATTACATATAGTCGGTTGTTGTTGTTGCTCTGTACCTTCAAGTCACTTCTGACTTAAGGTGACCTCAAGGTGAACCTATCATGGGGTTTTCTTGGTGAGGTTTGTTCAGAGGGTTTGGGGTTTATTTTTTTTTATTTTTTTTTTTTTTTTTTGCCATTGCCTTCCCCTGAGGCTGAGGGAGTGTGACTTGCCCAAGGCCACCCAGTCAGCTTTCATGGCTCAGCCAGGTTTTGAACCCTGGTCTCCAAAGTCCTAGTCCAATACTCAAACCACTACATCTGCAGCCTAGCTCCATTAAAATTTTGCTCTTGTTGATAGGTGGATATGCATTACTGAAACAGACATTGCTGTAGGCCGTAAGTGTTGATGCATCCAGTGCCTTTGTTTGAATCTGAGAACTTTCATGTGTTCTCAGACTTACGCAGTTCTGCATTCTCCTGCTAGTTTCCATTAACTGATCTGTTGCTCATTTTCTTAGCACAATGTTGGTAAAGCAATGTCATGTCAGGAAAGTAAGCATTCACATACAGCTTTAGGTTACAGCTGTATGGTAATTCCAAATGTTTGTTGTTTAAATCATGACTGCTGCATAACATATTAAATCATGACTGCTGCATAACATATCTGGGGAACCTTTCGTCCACCAAATATTGTTGAACTCCATTTCCCATCAGCCCTTACTTGCCCAGCCAAAGGCAAGGTATGTTATGAGTTCATTAGTGCCTAAAGAGCCAAAAGTTGCTATCTATGGCATAACATTTCTTTATTGGCTAATCTGATGTTTCCTGTGCTTATCAGGTTTGTTTGGCTCTGCCAGAGTCCAGTATGTTGCTGACTATTCAATGAGAATTGTTTTCCTCAATGCTGAGCCTTCCATCCTCATGACATATGATGCTAATCAGAGTTTACATACCATCTGGGCACTCAGAAGAGTAAAACCAGAGGTAAGAAATGAAAGGCAAGCACAGGCTCAAAATGGGCAAAAGAAAGAGGAGGGGCATAATTTGCAGGCTCACAGTTTTGCTCACCACATGAAGTTCTCTGAATTGAGAGTTCATGCTTGACAAAGAGTGACATTTTAATTGTGTAACCGCCATATCGGGAACTGCTGGAGCATTCTGATTGTTGTAAAAGAGTATTTTTCTTTACTTCAGAGAAGCCATTGTCCATGAGTGCAAATGCACCAAACAGGATGAGGACTGCATAATTTATTTAGCACTGTAACACTATAATACATTCTGTGTTACAGGGGGCACACCTCTGCTTCTTTGTTAAAGTTTTATTCTTAGTACCATCATGTTTATTTATTTATTTGGAGTATTTATATTCCGCTCTTCAGTCAAAAAGGCTCTCAGAGCTGCTTACAAATTGTTACATTCTGAAGTAAAGTGGCTGGCTACCCTAGACATGACTTTCTCTCTGGTGGTTCCTTGTGTTTAGAACCTTCTTTGTGAATTATGTTTATTTGATACCTAATTCATCTGACAAATTAAGTCTCTTGAGAAAAGGCCTAGTTACTGTTTTTCAGATGTCTGCTAACTTGCAAACCTTCTAGAGAACAATAGTAAGTGACAGTAGCTTCACTAGAGGATGGGCCACTCCATATTATTTTCCAATAGAAATCTCATTAGTGCCTCTCATACTTTTGCTTCTTGATGACAGTAAGGTGTGGGGATTTTGACTGGGCAAATGGCTTTGGGGGAAAATAGTCACTACTTTTGATATGGTGACCCTAAGCATATACAGCTGAAACAACCAGTGTTTCCATTCCTTTGAAGTAAAGAAGAAGACTTCAGGAAACATGATTCTGGACTCCTCTTGTTGAGCATAGTTTGATCTTTGAAAATTGGTACATGGAAGTATGTCATGTTCAGCAATTAAATGTGTATGCTTAGTCCTCATGGTTTTAAATTACACATGGTCTAGATTTGCTTTTCTTCACACCTAACAGGAACAGAATGCTGTCTTAAAGTTCTCTGAGCAAGGGGGGACCCCCCAGCATGTAGCCACCAGCACTTCCTTCACTGTCCACCTTCGTAATCTGTCTAAGGGTGACTCACCCGTGGCTTCTCCATTCCAGAACTATTCATCTATTCACAGCCAAAGCAGGTCTGCATCATCACCCAGCATCCACTCCCGCTCTCCTTCCATTTCCAACATGGCAGCTCTCAGGTGGGTTGGTAAGCTTCTTTCAGTTGTTGATTTCTAAGGATTGTTATAGGGATCACACTTGTTGCAGAAAAACAGGTTCCCTCAATCTACTGTTACTTACTGCATTATGTCACCTTTTGCACACTCAGTGTGACTTTCTTACTTTCTTCTCCTCCACACAGCTATCTGCATTGCCTGAAAACCTGCCCAGGGTCTTTTCTAGGCCTCAGGAGCAGGGTTTGAGAGCGCATAGGGGCTGCAGTAAGGAGTAGGGCATTATTTTCCCCTCCACACTGGTTCTGCTAAGGAAAACAGTTCCATTAGCATAACAACCCCATTGGATCCTGACCAACAGTACCTTAAACTGTATGGTTTCCAGATTCCACATTTCACCAGTCCTTGCTCTAAAGATTGGTGTCTTTTTGGAGTTTCAGTCACTTCTTGTCAATTGCTGTTCAGACCTGAAGAACTTTGCCCTTGGAATTATCCACAAAAATTTTACTATCATTTATGTCAGAAATATCTATGGTACTTTATTTTATTTTATTTTTATCATACCCTCCCCGCTTGCGTTCCTGGGAGAGCAATAGTGTTCCCCTTCTGGCGCAATTTCATTTTTACAGTAATACTGTGAGGTGGGCTAGGCTGGAAGAATAACATGCTTAGAGTCACCTAATAAAATTCACAGCTGAACAGGTTTTTAAAATCTAGGCCAGCAGTCCATTAAACTCCATACAGTTTTTCAAAAAAAAAAAAAAGGGATCTCCCTGCCTTCAATGAGCTTATAGTCTAACTATAAGACAAAGGCATTATAGGAAGAAGAGGGAGAGAAAAAGGGAGCAAGAGATAAATTACTTATATACTCGGCTGTAAGTCAACCTCATGTATAAATTGAGGGCAGGTTGTGGGGCCAAAATTATGGATTTTGATATGACCTGAGGATACGTCGAGGGTAAAACTTAGGGACATGTAACAAAGGATCTAAAGAATGAAGGAAAATGCCAAATAACTTAACATATTGCAGCAGGAATAACTAAAGGCTGGATGGGTGAGAGAGTAGAGGGGAGTCTGTGCGTCCAGGTCAGATTACACTCTTGCCTTTCACCAGGGGATGGTTCCTTTAAAAAAAAAAAGAGAGTTAAAAGTACAGTATTTACATAGACCAGTGGATGAGTTGACTCAGATTTTTTAAGTCAATTTTTTGACTAACATTTTTAGACTTATACATGAGTATATACAGTAACTAAATGCTGCTACATATTCTTAGTCTCGTAGGTAGTGTTACAGTTGTGTAGCCAAGTATTGAGCAATCATACAATAATTGTAATTCATAAACAGGAATTAGAGAGCAGTTTTCACTCTGCCCAAGTGCTCACCTCAACTGCTGTGGTAATATATACAAACACTGTACCAGTTTTACATTCAGGTTGCAGAACCTTATGCTTTATCGGATGCCAGCCTAGTTTTCCTTGTGCTTGTTCCTCGAACCTAGAGTTGGTTCAATGTGGGAAGGAGCAGATGTATTGTAAGGCAGTTTTTTTCTGTTCTGTATTGTATATGTGGGAGCTGATGCTGAAATGTAGTAGCTTGCATAAGGGTACCCTGTGAATTAATGGATGAGCTGAAGATTTGGACTAAGAATTTCCATCTGAGGCCTTAACCGCACTGCAGAAATAATTCAGTGTGGCACTACTGTAACTGCCATGGTTCAATGCTATGGAATTCTGGGAATTGTAGTTTTGTGAGAAATTTCGCTTTCTCTGTCAGAGAGCTCTGGTGCCACAACAAACTACAATTCCCAGGATTTTACAGTAGGCAGTTAAAATGGTGTCAAACTGGATTATTTCTGCAGGGTGGATGCAGCCTTAGACTTCCTGCTGTTCAGCACTGGGCTGTATTGCCCTGATACTTAAAGTGTAAACTCTTTGGTCTGCAGGCAAAAAAGGGTGCCATATGTGCAGTTCATCCCTGGACAAAACTTCTTTCTTTGTCCACAGCCGATCTCACTCCCCAGCCTTGGGGGTACATTCTTTCTCAGGAGTGCAGAGATTCAACTTCTCCAGCTACACCCAGTCTCCAAGGAGACACAGTGCCTGTCATTCTCCAAGCAGTGCTACTGACTCCTTCCTTGCCCCAGAAACTGAACTCATTGTTCCAGAACTATGCATAGACCATCTGTGGACAGAGCCATTCACTACCATGAGGTTTGGCAGAAATTATTTATCTGAGATCTGTTTTAAATGGAGGCCTGGATTACTTTCAGACTGACTGAGGGGGGAAGCAGACCAGGGCGTCCGGGACGCCCTGGGTCGGTGCACTGCGGGACTGCGGCATCCACACCGCGGCGCACCGGCGGTGTCCCTGAAAGGAGCGCTAAATTGGTGCTCCTTTTAGAAGTCAGGGAAAGTGCGCCCTAAGCGCTTAGGGCGCACTTTCCCTGACTTTTCCGCCACAGCGTGTGCGGACGC